TTATTTGCCAGCACCTGTTTACAGAAATCTTCTCAGACTGACCAGCAGTTCCCAGGTACAAGTCTCTACTATCTTCTGGAATGTTTAGGGATGCACCAGCTTTCTCCGCTTATCCCCAGAGCGTTTTCACCCCCCTTCCTCCATTCCAGTCCATCACAGTGGTTCAAGAACTGGGACCCTGGCAATTTATATTATAAACAGGAACCAGCGTATCTGTCAAGTTCATATTTAATTTGTTTTTCATACCCAGTCAATGTTCATTCTACACCACCTCTCCGATGGTTTGCAATTCTTTTTAGGACTGCACAAAAATTCATATGCAATTTTGTACACACTTCTAATAGACGTATTGTTGCACCCGTTCTTCCTTACCATGATACATTCTTGCAAATATTTTCCCCCTTGACATGAATGCACGCTCATCTTTTCCCATGCCACGAAACTGAAAAACTCCAGATAGTTGCATTCTGATTTGTTTATGGATTTGAGAAGTAGGACCTGAAAGCTCTGCATTAATATTTCTCGCCCACTCCTAATTCAAACTGAAAAAGACATTAATGAAATTGCTGTGTCACCCTCAGACCAAGGGAGATGATAGGACAGACTGTTCTACGCCTGAAGTGGCAAATTGGTTCAATATATATTGGACTTCAACATTTCTGGTTACTAAAAACTGTCCCACTGAATTATATGGCGTAGTGTTTGTTTAAATAATAATAATGATGATGATGGCAATAACCATAGTAATAAAATAAGCAATGATTTTTAAAAAGCTGTGCTTGGAATAGACATTAGAAGAGGCATTCCCCCTTGTCTACTACAAACAGGCAAAAATGCCTTTCCCAAAATGACCTAAAATACAAGATCCATAAATCTATATCACCTATCCCTGATAACAGTGTGCTTTGAATTCAGAATGGTTTTCTCCTTGGAACCTGAGTTAATCAGCGAGCAGTACCTGGATGAGACACCGCCCACCCCCTACCCCCATGCATTTATACTGCTCCAGAACAAGTATAGCCTGATTTTTCTTCCTTCCTTTCCCTTGTGGATCAACCCATCTGTTTACAAAACAGAACTGCTTCTGCCAAAATGCTGTGTGAGCACTGCATTTCAAACAGGGGTTTGCCATTACTTGCAAAACCCGTGCATTCCATAAAAGAAAAATGCCCCAGCAAGAGAGGGGAAAGAGCACACAGTCTGAACGCCTAGAGAGCCAAAACCCTCATTTATTTATAATGCAGAACAGCACAGCAGGTCTCCCAGTAGTGTGCCAATTCTGCTCTGCAACGTCACAAGAAGGTGGTGGTGGTGGTGAAGAGATAATTTGAAAGGAGCATGGCAGCATTTACAACATGTGATCTTCTCCTGAATTCTAATCTCTATCCAATGGAGCAATTGCAGCTGGAAAGGTGATGGCTGGAAAGCGGATGGGTGGACCGATGGCTTGAGAAAAGCAAGTTCTGGGTGTGATTAGAAAGGTATTACCTGTGAAAGGTGCCCGACTTCCAGGTAGAAACAGATGATGAATGCATTCCAGCCAACCCAGAGGATGAGCCACACAGCGTACTAGTGGGGGAAAGAAAGGGGCAGGTTGATAGTTAAAGATGGTCAATGGAAAAAGCTGTTAAAGCAACTGGAGATCCCAAAGATATATGCTTGCTCTCCATCATTCTGCCCCTAAAACAAACCTAGCAGCAGAAACACAGCACACACTGAAGTCATTTTTCTCCTACGCCAGCTAGCAAGAGTTGCCACCTGCAGACTTAAGCTTATGAATCTGAAGGAAGATGCCTAAAACAAGTGGAGCTTCTTAATCATTAAAGCCTAACTTCCAAAATCAGAGTTTACACAATACACCAAGCTATCAATCATGGTTTTCAAACTAGAATGCTGGGCTCTTACTACAAGCAAAAAATAAGCCAAGCAAACTACATGGAGGCATATCGTGCTGTATTAATCAATTCTTGTGAGTTACGCTTTTGAAAAGCTTTGGGAAATGTAAAGAAAGTGGAGGTTGGTTAGTTGCTGTCAAAGGAAAAAAAACAGGGAATTGTGGTAGACAAATACAGATTTAGGAATTTTCATAGACTAGACCTATATTCTTCAATCTTCTTTCACTGGACTTTCCAGATGTCTAAATTTTTAACTCCAACTGTATCAAACCTACGTACAGGGGTGTTGGGAGGGCTGTCAAAAAAGTCAAGATGGTGCCTGCAGCCATATGATCAAAGCCCCACCAGTTTTTTACACGTATTATGTGATGCGCATAAAAAAAGCATTAGGCTTTGTTCACCTGGTGGCAACCACCATCTTGAATTTTTAACACACACACACACACACACACACACACACACAGTCCAGTGGATTATGATACTCCTGACATGGCCAAAGGCTGGGAAATTACAGGAGCCAACATTCAGCACCTATGGACGGTACCACATTAAGGAAGGCTGGACTACTTTCTTCCCTCATCAAATATAAGCAAGGGTGTGTGTCTACACAAGACAGAAACTTTAACACAATATTGCAATATTCTCAGTCATACTGCATTCTATGCTATGTTTATGGTTATAGACACCACTGGCCCACATTAGCTTTCTACCTAATAGCTAGTTGGTATCGCTGCTAGTCATCAAATTATTCTTGACTGTTTTCTTGAGAGGGCTCTAAAACACACCATTCCGGGCTTTTAATTATCAATTATTTTAGTTTTGATTGAAATATCTCTGATTGAAAGTCTAGTTTTATGCATTCATGGTGCTGAGAGACTTTGGCAGTGGCAATATAATAGGTTTAATACATAAATCAACCAACCAGTGTCTCATTTCTAATCCTGTTCTGGAAAAGGAAGCAAAGAAAACATAGAGCAGGACTTGATACCTACCAGCATGAGGTATCTGGATCTGTACTGAAGGGTGCCAAAGACACCCAGGATAACGGCCATAATGTGTAAAAAATTGGCCAGGATTGGCAACCACTGATAACCCAGGAAGTCAAATATCTGTCTCTCCAGGGCTGCAACCTACAAGAGACCATAAAGGGAGACAAAGAGTTCTTCATTGCATAGCATTACACAGAATAAGAAAGCAGCAAAGTCTACCACAGAATTAATCAGAAACCCTATGGGCTATTAGTCACAACCGACAGAGATGTTGGCATGATTCATTGGCTGCTGTCAAAGAAATATATTCCAAAGCAGGAGGATTTATTAGGAATCATCACAAGTCAAAGAAGAGGGTGTTTGCGCTGGCAAATTGCAACAGTGGAAAGGACCACAAATGGATCGATGCTTCAATTTCCAAGAGCAGCAGAAGAAGCCAGGGTCTTTTGTGAAGTCCCCCAAAGTGGTAAACCTGTATACTTCCCCAGGAGATTGTTCCTTTGAATCCAAGGAGACTTATTTTAGAAATATTGGAAGCTGCTCAGGATGGGTGTCATTCATTGGCAACACCTCTCCATGATTCTGAACAGCTGTTTTTCTGACCCTGTTTGGAAAAGCACAAATTGAGCTTGGAAACGTAAAGGCTCTCATCCTTTAAGCTATAGCAACCATGACTTGAATTGACAACCCAAGGAGTGTATGGCAGGCTATAATTTTTAGAAGGTGATGGGGGTGGTTGTGATTTGGTGAACAAAGAGGGGATCAAGGTCTAGATGGACTTCAATGACTACCTTCGCATCAGGATAAATTAAGTAAAATTTTCATCCGTGGAGCATAGCCCTCCTGCACTTAAACAAAGTGATCAAAGGATGTGCATGAATATCTTGTCTTTCACTGAACAATCATCTCAAGTGCTCTGCTTCACATTTTAAAATTCAAACCTAAGGGAATTCCTCTCAGAGGATGTTCTCAAATTGAGAAGGATAGACAACCAGAAACATAAAAGAGAGATCAGCCAGGCCAGTATTCACACCTTCTACCAGTCCCAATAACCAAACCAGTTCAAAAACACCTCCATGAAAAATGTGAAAAGAAATTATCAAGCATCCTGAAAATAAGGTGGTAGCCAAACAAAACCACTTTCACAGAGGAAGCAAGCTTCTGAGATATTCAGGGCCAAGTTCGGCACAGCACCAGTTCTGATGCAAGTGCACCATTCATAAAACAGTATTTTCTGGGGATGAGGGTTTATGTCGGAAGTCAGATGGGACAGAAATAAACCTCAAGTTGAAGATCAGGAAGGAAAACCTTGATAAAATAGGAATACCCCTGGATGATTGGGGCTTTGCTAGTTCTTTCCAAAGCTTTCATTAGAAATTGAAAACAAGGCAGAATCCTTGAATTCAGGCCAAGCCTCTGAAATAAACCACACCTGTCAGCAGGGATCCTGTCTCCACATTTCTTCCCTTCCCCCTCCCTTCCCCCCATCTCTAGTTTAAGCCTGACAACCCTTATAAATCACTTGTGCAAGTGACTTCGTCTTCTAGATTAGGCTAATTGGGTTCTTAACAGCCCTACTGAACACAGGCCACTGTATGCCCTCCAATTCCAGAGTCCTTTGAAGTAAGAGTCAGTGTATTTCTTTGGTGGACCTTCCATTTCTCTGAGATGAGACCAGCCATGAATCACGTAGTCCGCCTCTGGGGACCTAGGGCAAAAAAAGCTGGCAATTAATTTCTGACACCACAAAATGGTCTACCAGTTATAGCTTTCCACAACTGTTGCTATTGGAATACAGCTCTCGTCATATGTGGCTCTGTGGGGACTGGGTCTGGTGAGAGTTGTAGTCCAACACATCTGGTTAATTGCAGATTCAGTACCTCTGGGGGGCCCCAGAATGGTGAACGTGGTCAGCTTAATGGAAAGGTCATGAAATGCTATGCCAGTTCCCAGACAGTGCCTGCTTCTGCATACAGCAACATAAAATAATCATTAGTACATACAGTATTAGCAGAGTTGTGAGATTATCTAACATTGGAGGTTGGGGGCAAAGGGAACGTGAGATTCAGAAAGTAATAAGATATTAGACTCTCCAGATGACTGCTCGCTTCCTTTTTAACTCTGCAGCAGAGAGTACAGGCAAATGCTTAACTTGATTTCCTACTGCTTGAAAACTGGCAGTTGCACATATAAACAGAATCCTGTGGAAAATACTGTCAGAACAAGACAATGGGTCAGTGGCAGTAGGCAGTGTTACTACAGGTATTGTATCTGGTGAGCTGGATCTAAAGGTTCCCTTCCTCTAACTTCATCTCACTGAAGGGTCTTCCATCCAACCCACCAGCCTGCTTCATGCATCATGCTAAACCATAATACGGCTTGTTTGATTTTGGTTTAATATGAAACGCAAACCTGATTATGACTTATAACGGACCAGTGTAGGATGGCTTGCTTGGTGAAACCCTGGTTTAAAGCATCCTGGCTTAGGGACATTTGAAGAACTCTATTTTTACTCTTGTTACTGGGGAACGATGGGTGTTGTGGAGAGTACCAGCTCAGAAAGGTCTATATGGTACTTAAATTGTTCTTAAGCTTTAAGTCTGCCTTCATTGGCTTGGTGGCTTCAAGGAGACCTTGGTCTAGAAAAATTATGACCCAAGATCCTGGAAAGCCACTGACAGCCAAGGCCTTGAGACACTTCATCTGGCTGCTCTACATTAAGCTAACCCTTTGTGCAACACCACACCCCTTTATATTCCAAGTCCATGTGACTACTATTGCTCAGCACCAAAACAACCTTGAGATTAATTGCATCCCAACGGCCCATTATCCTTGAACTCTGTGATTTCATTTGCCATATGCCTTGGGCTCAGTGGGGATTTCATTTAATTAAGCCGCACCAGAAGTAACATTTCCAAAACACTGAAACTTCTGGTACCATCAGAGAGTCCATGTGCGATCTTGGGTTCTTCTCTAGGAGTAGTATTAAACATTAATTTTACAGGAGTTTAGAGAGGGAGGGAGAGAGAAGGACTGCAAATCCAGCAGTTCCCCAGTCCTCTTCAATAAGGCTGCAGGCAAGAACATGTAAAAAGAGTGAGATACCATCTGTACATTTGGTAACATCTTGATTCTCTCTTCAGATCTGTGCTCTTGGAGAAGTTCAACAAGAGCCTTCTCCAACCTGGTGCCTCCAAGTTGAACTTCAGCTCCCATCACCTCACAACAAACAAAGCCAACATCCAAACTGGCCAACAGATAACTGGCCTGGATCCTTGCCACAACTTTCAGAGTCTGGAAAAAAAAATAATTGCAAACTTGGTTGCAAAGCAAATAGCTGTAGACGAGCACCTGCTAATTTTGTTTAAGTTATTACACATAAGAATCTTCTGCTAAAAACCATTCTGCCTGCATACTTGGCATTACTACCACCAAGGAATCTTGATTGGAAGGCACAAGCTGATAGCTTAATTGGGTTTAAATGAAGATGGCTATATTTCCTGATTATCACTTTCTTTAGTAACAGCAGTTAAGTTGCTGACAATTAGGCTTCACTTAAAATTGCAGGTGAAGATGTCTGCACATGAATGGTAATATACCCACATATTAATGGAACATCTGCCCATCAAGCTATGGAAAAGCAATGGCAAGGAGGCTCCTTTTTAACTCTAGGTAACTCCCTAGTAATCCAGCCACATATACGAAGCTGCTTTATATCTTTGGGTCCACCTGCTTCTGAAGCATCTATTGCATTTTATTTTATTCAGTCTCTCCCAGTACAAAGTAAGTGGAGATGGTAAACTGGAGGAAGAAAACACCAAGATGCAACTGTCTTCTTCTGGCCCCTTTGTTGCCAACTGAATAAAAGGAGCAGCAATTTGGGGCCTTTGTCCAAGGCCAATGTGGGAATGCAGATCTCATCAACTACAAAGTGTAAAATACAAGGTGGAAGGAGGGATGGTTCACTGGACTGAATTAATTCAATGGCCTGGGTTCATACAATACAATGGCTGTGTTTGCACAATGTAGTTTACCATGGTTTATTCAATTAGCCCAATCTTCTGGGCATAGAGTGTTTCATCCCCTGCTTCTGAGAATGGGGATAGCAATGTTCAGAGAATTTGTCAGTAAAGGGATGCAAAGTAGGGACACTGGTTATCTTTATAGGCTGCATTCATATGACATGCTGATCCAGGATTCACTGAATGATGGTTCCCATGGCTCACTGGGCTATCTTGCATTGGTTAAAGAGTTTTCTTCATCCCTCATTACAGAGATTCAAAACTTCCCCTGGAAGCTGGAGGTGAAGTGTGGTTGCTTCAAGTCTATGCATTATTCACTTTGGCCTGGATGCACACACATTACTATGCTTCTAAAGAGGGTGGCCTAAACACGTAGGACTATTGAGTTGTGTTTCCTTCACCCCAAACAGGAAACTCCTGCAGAAATCTTGCCTGTTTCTTTGATCCTCACGCAGTTCTTGTTTGTGCTGCTGTTCCTGCAAAATCAAAAGTCACTCGGTGCATTTGAAGGCCTACAATGCTGTCACCCACATGTTGCCTTTCTTGAGCACAACATGCAAGCTGTCACGCAGCTAAAATAAATGATGTATTAATGGGACTGCATGCTTCTGCTAATTTTTAAAGCTAGCAGCCATCAGGGAAGAAGCAGGAATCTGGACTGTAAGAAGTGATCCTTTCCCTACTATCACGTCTCAGATTACGAAAGCCACCTTCCAAAAGCCGCTATTCCTCTGAGGAAGTCAATTAATAGTACCCTTTAGTGTTTCTATGTCAACTGTTGCTGCTACTTCTGCTACCCTGAAATGAAAGGTCCCAAATATTGATGGTGTTCACATGATACACTAATCCATGGTTAACAGAACCATGCCTTCACTCAATCCAATTTTCTGGGTTCATGTGACACACTGAACCACAAACTAACCATATGGGCATAACACGTCAGGCTAAAATATGGCTGTTTGGTGGCTGTGCACATGCAAAATTGACTGCGTCAGTTATACAACCAGTGGCTGCAGTCACACATGCCAAGCTTGGTTAATTTTAACCTTAGTGTGTGTGTTTGTGTGTGTGTGGTTTAATGTATTGTGTTAACCCAAGCCATTGGGTTAGTTCAAGACT